ATGAATCTAAATTTAATAGGAGACTTATGTATTATTATTTTAGGTATTGCATATATTAAGGGTATAGTTGAAATTGTATTATTTTCTATGTGTATGGTTTTGTTAAATTGGCGATGTTTATCAATTATACTATCACCAGTATGAAAGACAAAACGAAATTGGCGATGCTCGCTTTCTAGCCCCTCTTATCAGCTATTATCAGTCGTTATCAGTTCCTATCACATACCACTTGTGTCCCCATCCCACCCCCTATAATATACAGGGGGGGGGCCAAAAAAAAAGACATTTTGCCTATGTCGGACTTCGGCTCTTTTTTCTTCGCAGAGATTGCTGTCGTTGACGGGAGTTCCTCAGCAGAGTATTCCCTAAGTGTTCCTCTATTAGTGTACGCAGGCTCTCCTTCACTGCCCTCACCGTCTTCAGAATATGACGTCATCTGTCACCGTCGTCAGGCTCAAGGAGGTCTACCGTAAGAGCTTCAGCCTGAAGCTCTTACGCAATTTCGTGAATCGATTTAATGTTGGATAGTTTTCTAGAGGCATTAGCTACCACTGTGCAAATCCCCTCGGAACTAGCTTTCCAGTAAGGGTCGTTATGGTACACGATCCTTCGAAGACCCCATTGAGATCGACCAGTGCACCATGTTTCCAGGGCTAATTCTTCTGATGCCGTCCACGTACGTGGCCACTATGAAGATTTTCTTATAGAATGGAATGCACTCTTTAATAATAAGTTGGAACCGTTCGGTCTGAGTTGAGTAAAATGTGCTTAAATCCATCTGGAAGTGGAGGCAAAATGTCTTTTTTTGGCCCCTGTATGTAAGAACCATGGCGCTATCATTTCTGTGACGCGAGCTACGAATTTCGTGACAAACAGACGCACACAACACACAGACATACTTAGCGAATTATATATAGTAGGATATTTTATCAGAGTGGAAAAGGCGGGGAATTTTTGGGAATTTTAGGGGATTAGTGGTTGTGTCTAATCAATTGATCAGTAATATTACGGTTGTTCTTATATTTGGGTTCCCATTTCTTTTATAAAATGGGCTTATGAATATGAATTTTTTAACACAAGTCCATAATCGATTACACGACTTGACTCTAAATGGGGCAGAAAATGAAACTTTCATATAATAGTGTTGCAAGTCTTCGCTATAAATGTATTCCTATTAATATTCTATATTGTGATTATTGATTATGACAATTATTAAAATTTCTTGCGTTGTAGAGAGGTTTGGATATAGTAGTAAGCCTATGATGTTATACATATATTATATTTGATATGTAGTCTCTTAGTTCAGTTCTGTGGTTTTGTAATTTCATTCATAATAGGATAGTTGGACTCTATCCATTTATGATTAGATGGTTATCTACTCTTGGTTGGTATTTTGGACATCCTTATCAGTAATTCTTTATTGTATGTTATTGAATAGCTCGAGTGTTTTCCGGTTCTGTTTTATGATGTTAGATTCTACATAATCTTATGTTTGAATGGTCTTTCGACCATGGCATTTATTATTGAAAGAATATGGGAATATTTCGTTATCATTGAGGTTTTTTCAAAGTTTTATTATAATTAAATGAAAGCAATGAAGCCGGGTTTTCATATTTATGTGTTACTCTGAATGCGATGCATTTGATTGTAGAGTTATTTTTTAAAATTTGTGTAACATTATATGAGTGAATGGGGCGGAAGTGGTGCAGTGACAAGTGGCGCGCTCACCACGCGAGCGGTCCGGGATCAAATCCTGGGTCGTGAGTCGCCCGGGCCAACCAAGCCTTCCATCCCTCCGGGGTCGGTTAATTGGTACCAGACTTGTCTGGGAGGATAAAAAACACTGACTTGAACATCGGCTGGCCCCGCAAGTCATTGTATAGGCCACATCGCATTCAAATGCCACTGCGAATGTACAAATGGAAGTAGAATGCGTGCCGCATCCCAAAAAGGGATTGATCAACGGCAAATGCTTTATCCTTTATCCTTTATATGAGTTCACTATTTCATCAATATTTACATAGTCTCATATTTTATGAATATAAGTAGTTGGCAAATTTCAATAATTATTATTGCTTATGTTTTTAGTATTATCTTTTTTATTTGGATCAAATTGGAATTTGCATAGTAGACAAAGTAATAGGAATCTGAATTTTGTCAGAAGGTAATATTGCTAAAAATGTGTCGGAGTAGCACAGATTAACAATTTTTGTGATAGTTTTCTTGTTGAAGCTATATAATTCCCTTCTGATAACTTTGACATTTGTGCTTTGTACTCTATTAGTGAATTGTCTATACTATTCTCTGTGTTTTGTTTCTTATTTGTACTTTTATTGATGCTATTTTTCTTACCTTTCCTTACTCTCTTTTTACGTATATTAAAGTTAAAATATTTATGTGTTGATTTATAATTGAGTGGATTTATTATATTAGAAACATTACCATATGCTTTAATGCAATCATTATTACCAAAAGGAAAAGCAGTTACTAACAATTTTATCCGGAAGGTTTCTTTATTTTGTAGTACAGTTATGTCCTCATTTTCTTGCAGGTTGACTAAAATGGAAAATGATACAAGTTTATTTTTACATTTAGTATTGAAATGTTTATATACGTATTTATTCGAATCATTCCTATGTATGTAGTAAAGATGTTCACTAATTCTATTTTTAAATCTTCTTTTGCCACAATTTCTCTTTTTTCGAGGGGCTATTGTGTTCTGAGAACTGTGAAAAGCTGTGTCAGTTACCGTGCATTGCACCAGAGACTGTTTCCAAACAACTCCAGAAGACACTCGTCACTCAGGTAACAAGCCGACCGACTTTGGGCTTTTTTCTCGAGTTTCTGGACATCGGCAACCAAATGTTTGCCATGTCGTGAAAGACACTCTGGAGGCCATCGCAAGACGTGGGGCTCTTGCCGCATCACTTCCACTGACGCGTTTTCTGGGTTTTAGAATCAAGAGTAGCCAAATATGCTTTCAGTCAAAGTCGATTTTCTCAGCCATAATCGCTGCGAAATACCACGGCAGAAATGCTCTGAAGAGATCATTGACTAGGGTTTACATACGTTTACAATGGATGTCAAAAATTATCCCTGAAGATTTCACAACATACACATGAATAGGCAAAGACTTTTGGGTCAACCTAATATCTTTACTATAGAGAAAGAGTATAAAATCTTTTCTCTTTTAAGTGACACATTTTTCCATAGGAATTCCACCACTGCACCTACGATTATTTTCTAGCCCAACATAGCTTTTGTTATCGTTCGAAATTTGCGCCGCTAAGGTGAGGTGATCGCAAAACTGTGACTGTCCCACGCAGCCAAAGCCGAAGCGCGTGCTGTCGTCATTGTGTGAAATAGAGGCTACCAAAATAGTATGAAGCTCTGCATCTCTCACTGTTCTGACTTACCTGTACGACACAAGTGAGAGAAAATGGACTGCGTTGCAGTGAAATGAATGTACCTGCGATAATTGTGCATATTGGTTAGATTGGTGCGAATGTGGTCATCCAAGGGATCGAAAAATTGTGTCGTAGTAGTTGTAGCCATAGTCGACGTGGTTGTAGTTGGATCCACAAAGGGAGTGACAGTGATTACGATTGGACTGGGTACGGCTACGGCTGGAATGAAATAGTTAAGGATTCTGTTTCATCGAAACCGCGCTGAGGTCTTGTTGCTTATCGTCAAAGATCTACACGGCGGGTGTCTACGTTCTCGCTTGTCTGCTATGCTCCATCGTCTCCCTCGTCCGCTCTTTCTACCCTACGCACTGTGTCACTCAAGCTGCGTGTTCTGTCAGTCAGGTTATCACTTCAGCCATTAAAATGAAAGAAGGTTTCCAGCGCCAATCATTTTGATGGTTTCTTTTCTTTTTCTTTACAAGGGGCCTTACAAATTCACCTTCACTTCAGATGGGACAGCTCCACTTAGACATTCGTGGTGCCTTAAATCTAAATTCCAACCCGAAAGGCAACATATGTTTGTCTTGAAAGATGGAGTAGCCGACTAATGTCATTAATCCTAGTTGTGAAAGTACAACACAGCAAAGGTGAGTTCACATTTTCATCTGCTATTATACATTTAGCAACTTTGTGATGAACTCACTGAACAAAAGGTGGTTAAAAAGAAATATACAATAGCATTATAAGGATGCCTACCTGTGTCTGGTGCCGTCTGTGACCCTCTCTTGATGCACTGGGATCGAACACATGTGGTAAGAGATGGAAACGGGCAATCTTCGGCTCGTCCACACCGTTGTCCAAGTTGA